TTCTTGTTCCCTCTCCGCCAGGTTATATGACCTGAGGTGTAGAATATATCGTGTTAAATAACAGAAACCCCAAATTCCCGCTTTTTTTAATTTAAGCCCATTCCCACCCATCTTGGTTATACGCCCATCTATTTTGTTTATTAACAGAAATTGTTTTTCGGTTGCAAGCCCCAATTCCCGCTTATACGTCCCCGTACTTTTTTCCGGTTACCGTAAGAGTTAATTTTGAATTTCTTGTTGGAGCAAAGTAAAATGCATTTTCTTTAAACCCCTACGAAATTGTGTGAATCTGGGATGTTAGTTGGAACATGGGATGCTCTGAACTCTGTAAATGACAGCTGACATTTTGATTTATAATGGTCTATAATGTGCAAAGAAATTAAGCTGCTTCTGAAAATATTTATATACCTCCTTAATAAAGATTATAGACCTCCGCGAGTGATTTATCCACGAAGCGCATCTGAACATATTCACCACAAATTCAGTCGTACCGACACGGAAAGCTATACGGTACATTGTTTAAACACCTATCCATTATGTGACTCTCCACGGATCGGCAAGACGCAGCTTCGCTCCGTTACGACCCTGTTACGAAAATCGCGCCGAGTTCACTATTCTTATGTGTGAACAGGAACCCCAGCCGGTAGGGTTTTCATGCCGGCGCAAAAGCTATATGGTATATCGTGAACATAGCCTTATTTTTGTAAGAAATTGTTTTCAAAATATTCAGAGACGTTTCTATAAATATCATACCATGAATGACCAAATTGAAAGTGACTTTGAACTCCGTTTTGCCACAGGCTAAACTAATTAAAGAATTACACCCTGTCCCCCGAGTTTTAACATGGCAACAAAAGGCGTCTGTTTCCGCATTTTAGATTAAAGATTTTTTATGACGAAACTGTTTTGCTTTCAAAACAAAACAACTGTTTTTAGATAGATTACAAACTAGAGGTGGAAGTAGATTACTGTAAATGGAGCCTAGTCTAATGGAACCTTGGTTCTGATTGTAAACCGTTGGTTTTTATCTCTTTCCTCCCCTCACTAAGACGATATTTTGTTTAAGCACACCTTCGGTTAAACCAAGTATTGCTAAGTTGCAGCTTGGCGCTTTTCCTTTACTTAGACGTGACGTATGCGCCTTAACGCCCACAAGAGCATAATGGTTTGAAAATAGTCCATTATTGATTCAAGATCAGTATATTATCTAAATCTGTTTTCTTTTTAGAGGAAGGTCGCCATTTGGGGATAAGAGGCTTACTTCCTTGATTATGACGAAGATTCTACCTCACTGCATTCTCTAGATAAAGGGTCTAGGTCATGGAGTATCACAGGTAGCCCAAGCTCGAAATATGAGCATCGGCGACCATCGGCATTGTTGCGTAACATTCAAAATATAAGGATTTGTATGGGAAAAAAACCTATCGTTTCTGTAACCAACGAAATGAAAGGATTTCAATAAAAAACAGCTTACTTTACTTAAAATGTGTAGAGAAAACCGTTTACATAAAAACCCATATAAGGCCTGTAAATCGACCTGTGGACCACACAAGAGAGACGTAACACACATTTTAAGCAAGGTAGCTGTTTTTTATTGAAATCCTTTCGTCTCTAGGTTACATAAACGATAGGTTTTTTTTCCTATACAAATCCTTATATTTTGAATGTTACGCAACAATGCCGATGCACGCCGATGCTCATATTTTGAGCTTGGGCTACCTGTGGGAGTATGGGGCTATAGCATCAATCATAACATTGACTGACGAAACAGATAAATGTACCAAGAAACTCGTTGATGCACCCATCCAAGGTCGTACAAATGATTTGGTCGTGTAACGGCGATGTTTCAAATTAAAAACAAAATGACTGAGTGTTATTACGTTTGGGGGAAAGATTAGAAATGAATGCCGGTGGTAGTGATGACGAAATGGTCGGTTCCCATGGCCCCTTGCTGCGCTCATGTTTGAAAATG